CCATCACCGTCATGCTGGCCTGTTTGTGCAGGCGGCAGAAGGACAGGACCAGCGAGCACCACGCGGCCAGCTGCTTCTGCCGAGTGTCCACGTTCGGCTGCAACCTGCCGGGGGAAGGGGGTGGGGTGCAGAATTACGGGGAGTGAGAGGGCGCGAGGCAGCCCTCGCCGGAGGCGCGTTTCGGGGAGAAAATGAGAGGCTGAGAGTGGTGGCGACCGAGTCCTTCCTCCCCCTCCCCAGGTGCAGGGTCGGGGCTCAGCCCGGGGCCAGGGGAGGGCAGGGAGGCACAGCGGGGCTTCGCGGGGGCTGAGCCTCACGTAAAGAAGGGCGGGAAGCGATACTGCCACGGCCACTCGAAACTCATCGCCATCGTAGTAGCCCAGGAAACCCGGAACCTCCCTGCGAGGGACTTCCGGTCTCCGCTTCCGCACGTCCGGGCAGAAAGCGCAGCAGAAAGGTTCCGGACCCTTGTTGGGGAAGACGAGCAGTCTAGGGAGGGCTCTTCCTTTTCTGCCAGTCCCTTGCCATTATCCTAAAAATCCTTTCCGTTTAGAGCAGAAGGTCCCTGAGAAGTCTGGCTCAACCCCAGAGAAGGGCAGTGACTTCCTCACAGCAGCATAGTTTGTTCTCAGAACTGCAAGCAGAACCCCAGGTCCCTAGACCCCAGCTTAGGATTGTGTCCACTATGCTGGGCTTCTTTCAATAATGACATTTGTGTCAAATGCCATTTAAGTTAAAAACCTCACATTTCCCAATCTCTTCGATTCCTATGTCCTTTGACTCTACCTTTCCTCAGTCTCCTGTGCACCCGTGGGAACACGTTTGTAGCTGGAAACGGCTCTGCTTCCATGGTTCAGAGCAGCCATCCTTGACCACAGCCATCCATCTCTGATCTCTCTCCCGTTCTCACCTTCCTAGTCTCAAGCTCCAGAGCCCTTTTGGTCGTGACTCCTTACCTAGAAGAGACTACTCAATTCTGTCCCCTTGTCTACCTACCTGCTGGTCAGTTTCCAAACCAGATTGTTGGTCCCTGCCCACCCACACCCCCTTTTTGTGTCACTCCTTGGCAGGGGAGTATGCCTAGAAAAAAAATCACCAGAACATGCTGACTGAGACCCAGATTCCATGACTAACCTCATGACTGGACTCTTAGTGCAGCCCAGTGGCCCTTTGTATTTTTTTATTTATTTTAGAGGGAGGGAGGGAGAGAGAGAGAGAGAGAGAGAGAGAGAGAGAATGAGAAACACTGATTTGTGAGAGAAATATCGGTCAGTTTACACCCTAACCAGGGATTGAACCTGCAACCTGGGTGTGTGCCCTGACCGGGAACCTAACCCACCACCTTTTGGTGTATAGGATGACGTTCTAACCAACTGAGCCATGCTGGTCAGGGTTGTATTTTTTTTAAAATAAGAGTTTATTTGAACCAAACCGACAACATATGGTGGGGAACAAGCTCTCAAACGCTCCCAACCCTTTGTCTTTTAATGACTCCCTGTCACATCGCTCAAGGTAACTCTTCAAAGTTGTCCACAGTCATCAAGCCATGTCACCTGTCCCCATTTTCCTCCTCTCTGCAGAATGTCCTTCCCCTCTATTTTATGAGATTGCAGCCGTGAATGTGAACTTATTAATCTTTCCCTCTCCATCTGTCAACACACTTGATTTGTCTCTCAAAAAGTCTTCTCTTTCACTCCTTCCTTTTGGACTCAAAGGAAGAAGTGCTGCTCTTCCTTTACAAGGCCAATCCTTTGGCGTATCTTCTTGCCTCTCCTTTCCAACTTCCTCCAGGACTTCTCTTTGCATCATCTTCCCTCATCTCCTTTCCCCTGCCTCCTCTCTGCTAGTCTACAAATATGCTGAAGTCATCCCTATGTTGTGTCCTAATCCGAAAGAAGATATGCACCCTTATGTTCATTACAGTGTTATTTACAATAGCCAGTATCTGGAAACAGCCCAAGTGCCCTCACAGTTTAATTCTTGGTCGGGCATATGCCCAGGTTTCAGGCTCAATCCCTATTAAGGGGCGTGTGGGAGGCAGCCAGTCAATGATTCTCTCTCATCATTCATATTTCTCTCTCAATCTCCCTCTCCTTCCCTCTCTCTCTCTCTCCCTTCCTCTCTAAAATCAATAAAAATATATATATTTTAAAATATGTAGTGTCCTTGACTTTGCCACTCTCTCAATTTCTTGTCTGATCTCTAACATCTTCCCCACCAAAATCCATTCTTCATTGTGCACAATTCCTAGTTCACAGAAGTACCCAACAAATATTTGTTGAATGAACGAATGAACTTTGCAATTGATACTGTTTTTTCAAAGGGCACCATCTCCTTTGCTTCCAGGGCACTGCTTTATCCTTGGTCTGCTACTGTCTCTCTGATCTTTCCCTTTGTCTCCCCCCACCCCATTCTTTAATTATGGGTGTTTCCTAAGAACCCAACTTCAGTCTTCTTTTCAATACACCTTCTCTTTAAACTTTCACCCCTCTCATGGATTTATATGACATTTCTGTGCAGAATACTCTTAAACCTGTGTTTCCAGCTCCACCCTCTTTCTACCACCACCATCACCACTCCCATTTCTAACTCTCTGTGGGATATTACAGCTTGTTCCATTGTTACCTCATATTGCATATCCTTTTCCTCAGGCTAACTCCTGTTAATGGCCCTTTTCTGTTCTTACTTCCATCATTGTCCAAATAACTCAGGTTCAAAGCCTGAGTCAGCTCTAGTCTCTCTGTCTGTCACCTACTTCATATCCAAATCCTGTTGATTCCCTCCCCTGTTTTTAATCATCTCTCCTACTTTTTAATTATTTTTCGTTTCCCCATTCATCACACTTTTGGTCCATGTCCTATTTTTCTCAAGCCTGTATTATTACAATAGTTTTCTAATTCATCTCCCTTTTTACTCTCTCCTCTAGGGGAATGCACTCCACCTACCGTCAATTCATGTAGCAACTCTACAATCACCCTCCTGTGATCTTAACTCCTGTGATCACACCTTTGTTAGATGTGACCCTTCCTTCCTTTGCACTCGTACAAACATTTGGCTTGTATTCTTTGCATGACTTTCATCACACACTCCATTGTTTTTGTTTATTTGCACATGTCCACTCCCTTACTAGATAAAAGCCATTGAGGGCAGAAACCAAGTCTTAGCTAACTTCCTTTTTCAAAACAATGTACCATACAGTGTCTTACACCAACATGCCTTTGATGTATGTTAGCAAAATGCATGAAGGTAAATATGGGCCAAGAAAAGCATAGATATATCCTTGGAGGAGACATATACATTCATGAAAACAGCAAAGATTTATCTCAGGTGAAAACTCAAAATGTCCAAGGGAACAGGTGTGTCTCTAGAGAGACAAATACATCCTGAGAGGAGAAGTGTGTCTCAGAGAATGAATAGATACATTCCAGAAAGCAAACACGTATGTATCTATGGAATAGACAGGCATGTCTAGGAAACGGATATGTATATTCTCAGGGAGGCAGATATTTCAACAAGGAGTGAAGGAAGTTCCTGAAGAGGCTTTAGGTGCCACACGGAATAAACAGGTGTCTTTATGGAAAGCAAAGTTGTTCTCTAGGTATTTTTGATGACCTTTGTTCCAAGGAAAATTGGAGGTGAAGGTTCTCTGGTGAGAACTGAGCCTCACTGTCCAGGGGACCTACAAGAGTGTCCATATACCAAAATGTTGAGTCAGAGACTAAAAATGTCCCCAGAAAGTGGTGTGGATAAAAAAGCGATGCTGTAATAAATCATAAATTCCTAACTGGGCAGGTCATGGTGGGTAGTCACACCCTAGGCATATAAATTTCTTGCCTTAAGCAAGCCAGGCCCATTGTTTTTGTGCATCCAGGTTAGCACACCTTTGAAAATGCCTCGTTCCAAACCCCTCCTTCTAAGATGTAACCACCCTCACCTTGCTGTCTCCCACCTTCACATAATCTTCCTTAAATCCCCTCCTTAGTTTCAAATGCATGAAAGAAACTGCAAAACTGTTATTCTTCAGGGCATTTGAGAGCTTGCTGCTCGTATATGCCGTCAGTTTTGGCTCAAATAAACTTGATCAAACTTTATTTTTATTTATTTTTTAGATATATTTTTTATTTTATCTTTTTTTTCAAATACATTTTTATTGATTTCAGAGAGGAAGGGCGAGGGAGAGAGAGATGGAAACATCAATGATGAGAGAGAATCATCCTCCCGCAAGCCCCACCGGGGATCGAGCCTGCAACTCGGGCATGTGCCCTTGACTGGAATCGAACCCGGGACCCTTCAATCCGCAGACCGACACTCTACCCACTGAGCCAAACCAGCCAGGGCTAAACTTTATTTTTATTGTTCACACTATTACAAATGTCCCCCATTTCTCCCCTCTTGCCCACCTCCAACCAGCCCCACCACCCCTCAAAGAAACTCTTTTAAAAATTCTCCACAGGTTTGGACATTTCTTATGTCGACAGTAGGAAAGTGTCTTAAGGGAGCCCAAGTCTGACTCAGGAAGCCGGTAGAACTAGTGTTTGCTATGGAGATGACAGGTCTCTGGCCTCAGGGTCCAATCTCCTGTTTTGAGCTTCTTCCACCACACATCCATCTTCTGCTTTTTGGTTTAGTGGACACCAGGGGGCAGTGTGCAGCCAGGCTGTAGGCCACACCCCCGGGGTCCAGGACAATGTAGGATGAGGGCCAGGGACCTGAAGGGGGAGTCCTGTGGTGAACCTAGCAGAGGGATCCCCCATTGCCTTTACCCTCAATCCTGACTGAGGTCCTTAGGGGTGGACTCCAGTTAGTCAGATCACAGTTCCTGTTCGAAGTCTCTAGAAGTGAACTGAAACATGAAAGGGGAAAATTCGGAACTCCTGGGTGGCCCCCCTTCCTTCTGGTAGGAGTCAGCCCAGAGTCCTCCCTCGCCCCTCCCCCCACACCTCCCCAGCGGCTGTCCAGACCGGAAGGGAGTCTTTTCCTGCAGGCTTCCTGGAGCTGGGTTTGGATAGGGGCAGGAAAGGCCCCACCTTGGGAGGAAGGAATGTAGGAGTTCAGCCTTCAGGTGGTGGTGGGGAGGGGGGTGCCGGCGGAGGGCTGTGGGGGCCAGTAAGTAAACAAAACAGTGGGGCTATCAGATTCTTGCGGCTCTGTTGCCCAGAGCTGGGGGTCTGTGGACATGACAGGTTCTGGGAGGGACACAGGCCCCACTGGGATAGGGAGGAGGACGGTGTACAAAAGAAACCTTTTATTTTGAAAATTGCAGAACTGGTGCCCTGACCCTACCCAGCTCCATTCCCCCAGTCTCAGGCTCTGTGTGCAGTGAGGCGAGAGAAGGGGGTAGGGAGATGGGCAGGGAGACCTGGGGGTGGCAGGGAAGGGAGGGGTGGCTGCTGAGAAACTTATGCCACCCTAGGCCCGGGCTTCGCTGTCTTTACTCTTCCACACCACAAGGGTGACCAGGAACGGGATGAGGCAGATGGGGGCTATGATCATGGCCAGGAGCACATCCTCCGGGGGGTCTGAGAAGGTGGTCTCCTCCAGGCTGCAGTTGGCAAAGTGGGTCTGGTGAGTCTTAAAGATGATCTGTTCCGCCGAGGGATTGGGGAAGCCCAGGCCAAAGCGTTCCGCTTCTATTTCCAAGCATTCCTGCAGGTCGCTGTAAGGCCTGTGGGCAGGAGAGGACTAGCGTGAGGGAGGGATTGGGCCCACAGAGAGGAGTGCCCCGCATTTTCTCAAGGCCCACCCTCAAGGAGCAGGGCGCCCACCCCTGGCCCAAACCACCCTCCAGCCTGGCCCCTACCTGCTAATGATGGCCCAGTCGCACCAGTCTTCTTTGATATCCTCCATAACATCCTGGTAGCCTTCCCAGCAACTTGAAATGCTCTCATCGTACGTCTCCATTTTCCCTGTGGGCACTAACACTGCACAATGACCACCCCCCGCCCTTCCCTCCCAGCCCTCTGCTCCAGGCCCTTCCATTCAGGAGTCCCGGTCCCTGTCTTTAAACGGAGGCACTGCCCAGACAGCCTCAGAACGTTTCCCAGACAAGACCCTTCTGGCTGAGGGACAATGCTAGTGCTCTCCCCGCGCACAGCCCTTCCCAGACTGGCAGCAGTTTCCGCATCCCCCTTTTTCTGGGGTCTTCTCACCCCCTGAGGTGGCCAGCTTGGGGGCCTGCCTTGTGGGAAAGGAACCCTCCCCACGGACTTGCCTCTCCTCCTGCCCCAGGACACCTTCCACAGCTGCTGACCACTCACCCTCGGACTCCAGGCTGCCTGCGGTGGTCAGATGCTGAGCCACGGACCCCTGGGGCTTCAGGGTGGCTGTGGGCAGACATGGGAGAGGGAGGTGGAATCGCTGGGTCTGGGCAGTGGGTGTGAGTCGGAGGCTAAGACCCTGGGAAGTCAGAGCCAATCCCCGAGGAGAAGGAGGCGTGATGCGCCTCGGGGTGCCTCGGTGGCCAGAGGAGAGGGGCTGGGACCAGCTCCTTCCCGCCGGCATTCGGATCCCGAACACCTCCCCTTCTCGCCACCCCAGACCTTTCCACCATCTCTCCGCCGGGCCCCCGCCCCGGTTTCCCCCAAGTGGGAAGCAGCTTGCACGGCGCCCTGACCGAGGTGGGGCTACGGACAGACCGCAGGACAGCGCTGTCCGCACCCACAGCCTCGGGCCCGCGCTGGCCTCGGCCGTCCAGCCCCCCACCCCTCCCTCGCGGACTCCCTCGCTTTCTCCCCGGCCTGCCACCGTGCTTCCGGCCCAGAAAGAGGACAAGGATAAAAACGGCCCCGGACCCGGATGAACAGAGAAGGACCACGGCCTCCATTGGATGACTGAACAGAGCGAAAGAATAAGTAGGGATCTTTCCGGTTAAAAAAAAGTGATATATATTGTTTCATGAGGACCAAAAGACAGAAGAGGGACAGGACAAGAATTAAGACCAACAACAAAATCCCCGGCACGTGCCACTCCCGAACGTAAACACAGGCGAACAGGTAGGGTACCTGATAGATCTGTTGTGGAAACATCCGGTGTAGGGCCGGTGGGGAGGGGGGCTTTTTGCGTTGGTCTTTTTGAGAAATGGAGGCGGGAACAGGGGAGGGAGCCGGGGGAGAGCGAACAATGAACTTTTTATCAAAAAAAGACAACAAATTGAAGAGTATTGAGAAGGGGAGGAATGTCAACAGTATGGGGGAGGGAAAGGTCTCGCGATATGTTACTGGAAGAACAATTAT